AAAAAAAAAAAAAAAAAATGAATGGGTAGGTCTTTCTTCGCACCTTTGTTTAGATGAAGCAATACACATACGAGGCAAACAAAAATAAATGAAGTATTAGTTTAAGTAACTAATAAATAAAGCACCAACAAGTTCTACAAAATCCTAGAAAAAAAACCTAAGAAAAATTAAATCCGCTAGAACTAAAAAGTCATCGTGGCGTTAGAATCTTAAGCTTACCTGTTCAGTTGATGAAACTGAAGCCCCAACAAATAGATTACTCATTAGTGGCTCTGCTGATGCAAACAAAAATAAATGAAATATTATTTTTTTTTCGTTATGTTTTTGCTATTTGTTTTAATAGAATCAAGTATATTTACATGGTAAAAAATCTATTACCGTTCAGCTAAAGTATTTGGCAGAGGAAATGCAAGATTTATTTTGTTTGCATCAGCGGAACCACTAATGAGTAATCCATTTGTCGGGGCTTCAGTTTCATCAGTTGAACAGGTAAGCTATAAGATTCTAATGCCTCGATGACTTTTTAGTTCTGGCCTGATTTAATTTTTCTTAGGTTTTTTTCGTGGGATTTTTGTAGAACTTGTTGATGCTTTATTTATTAGTTACTTAAACTAATACTTCATTTATTTTTGTTTGCCTCGAATGTGTGTTGCTTCATCTGAACAGATGTGCAAAGAAAGGCCTACCCATTCATATATATATATATTTTTATTTTGTTGCCTTTTGGCTATGGTGTTCTTGTTAGTATTGTTGTGTATGTGTGATTGTATGTTTGATGCCAAGTCTATTGGGAGTTTCTTTCTACAAAAATGGCTTTGTTTTTTTAGAGTTTTTGTTTTCTATTGCAGAATTATACTGTTTCATTAGTAAAATCTTAGGAGTTAGATCATAAACTTGTTCGGTTGTTATCTTGATAGTGGAGTTGCATAGTAATTTATGCGCATATTAAATTAAAAATACGATTCAAATTTCAGGGTTCTCTCCCCTCCTCCACCTTACCTGATTTGAGATTTGTGTTGCAATTCTTTGCGACCGTTAAAGGAAAGCATAAGTACTATAGGAAGCAGACTATGACAGGAAGCAGACTATGACAGGTCATGGGAAGTATGATGAGCAACTCGTAAAATTTACTGGATGTCATGGATTGCGTGTTGTGGACTCGACACCAAATCCGATAAAAAAAAGATGTGAAGTATGGTGATGTTGCAGACTTCCTCGATGCAATTGAGGCTGATGGTTTGAGAGTTGATGACGCAATGGCTTGTATTGTGGCATATCCAAGTGTGGTGTTCATTTCCCGAGAAAGTGCAGCCTACAGCTCGCTCAAACTAATTGTTAAATGTGGTTGAGTCATAGGTCTAAAACTGGGCTTACAGAGGGAGAGTATTGCCTTATGTCTGCAAAAGTCTTCAAACAACTTATGTCCATTCATGAATTGATCGATCCATGTTAGAATAAGAAAAAACCTATTTATTGTTTTTTTTTTTATCAAACTTTGTGTTATTTGTTTTCATGCAGGGTTGGGTCTGATGGTAAATGAAGAAATGGAGGTGGACAATTTTTTAAGTTTTATTTCAAGAAGATTGCGTTGCTTTCACTATCAGATGAGGATGGTGGTCCTTAAATTCCCTATTTGCTGGAAGCCTTAGTTGAGATTGTCGATGGTCGCATTAAGTTCTAGGTGAACCAAGTCCCGTAGAATTTACCCCCGTAAAGTATACTGTCGACAAAACCACATTTCGTTTAAAGATGCAAGGAATGCTTTCTTTGTTTTCCCCTTTTTTGGCTGCATTTGTCGCAAAACTCTAGCACATATACTATTGTTGCATTATCAAAACATCAAGTACTGCATGGTTATTGGCAGTTATCTTACCTAAGTACACTATTGCTGGTGATTTCGGTCTTCATTACAGTACATAGTGTTATGTTTGTGTTCTCAATGTGATATTGTTTAAATCTCTCTCGAGTTGTTCAAATGGGCTGGTGGGGTCGGTTGGTGGGTCTCAGAAATGCAGGCCCAACCCATCCATACCTCGGGCCGCGGGTTTGGCGGGCTAGACATTGTATATAGCAAAACAAACACATAAGATAGTTTGGCTTTGGGATTGTATGTTTGAAAGCGTGTTTTGGCCTTTTCCCTGATTAGTTCATCTGTTCGAAAGATTAGTTTTGGCTTATGGTTATTTGCAAAGCGTCAAGTAGTGCATGAATTTGATTTTAAGATTTGTCGAATGAGACAGAGCTTTTTATGGGAGAATAGATGCATCAATGCTTAGTTTCAATTCTCTCTCTCAATGTTTCCCTTTATTTTTTGTAGATCTAAACTCTTATATTAGTCAGTGTTCCATAGTTCTTTCGTTTATTTATGTGTTTTTAATCAAAGGAAGAAGAGGAAGAATACATGGCAACTTATCACCACCGTGAGTGGATATGTTTAGTTGATTTTGTCAAAACAAAAAATTTAAGTCAAGTGTAGTAGTGACGTTCTCAAATTTCTGGCTTACTATTTCAATTCAAGTTGAATAATTGTGAACTATCGAAAATGTTTTTTATGTTCTCCATGCAGAATTCTTTAAATGCCTGTTAGTTTACAAGGCACTGGATAGATTGTTGAAGCTGGAGACAATTTCACAAATCAAACAAATACCATAAAATACAGATTCCTCTATTTTGGCTCGAAAGCTTTACATTTAGATATGTATAGCATACAAAAAAGCTATCTGGTTCAAATTGACAACGCGAACCATTTTGATATCACTCGTTGGCAATACAAAAAAGGCGTTAAGTTTATGATCATAATCTCATTTCCAATTCTTTCCAGGAACCATTCACTTTAGATTTCTCGTTTTTTGCTTCTTTCTGTTCTTTCTTCTTCTCGAGTTCCATTTGCTTGCGATTCTCCTCATGTGCTCGACGAAACACCCTCACAAAATTTAGTAAAGTCGAAACAACTGCACAAATGCACTCAGGCAGGTAAAAACTGAAAAAGAAAAATACTAACAGAGCATATATAGAATTTTACTACACGATAAGATGTCGAAAATATCAAAATAGTTGAGAAGTTAATAATTACAAGAATATACCTTGTTCGAACGGGCAGCGAACTGGGTCTTCACCGAAATAAAGAGCCAATGCATCTGCATTCCTTCCCTATATAGAACTCAAAATTCATCTGATTAAATAGTCATTTATATTGAAATATATGTGCATCTCTCACATATATGAACAGCGATTTTTACTAAGACTAGTAAGGATTTACCGCTACAGAATAGATCGAAGCCAGTGCTCTAACTTCTGCTTCAGCACAACCATAAAATTCCTTCAGAGTCTACGAATAATCCATAGAAACAATTATTAGATGCAAAATGAGAATTGTTGTGAATAGAAAAACAAATTTAGAATAGAAGTTGAACGGCGCTTCTACTTGTTTTTTGACGAGCAAAAATGGCACACAAGAACTTCAAATGAATTAGAAGAAAAATAAGGCTAGATGTTATACAAGAGCAATCATAAGTCACTCATAGCTTCGAAATACTTTTTTTTTAACAACTTGCCCCTTATTAAATATTACATTTGTCACTCTTCCAGTTGAGTTACCTTCAACTTACCTTGCAGAAGTACTCAGAGACAGCTCCATCTTTATCGGAAGCATTTAGTTCATGAGAAACTTTTTCGAGCCCTTTACTAAGGGCTTGCATTTCCTCTGCCAAATACTTTAGCTGAATCTGTAATAGATTTTTTACCATGTAAATATACTTGATTCTATTAAAACAGATAGCAAAAACATAACGGAAAAAAAGAAAGAAAGAAAGAAAGAAGATTAGGTGTACCTTTGTTGCAGCTTCTAAACTTGCAAGGTCTTCATGAAAATCCAAAACTTCTGGCAACTTTTCAGAAAGAACCTTGGGATAGATACAAGCTATGTATCAGCATGTCGTTATTGCTATTTTCAACACAATCTTCTATTGTGTGATTTAAGATTCAGTGCAGTCTACTTAAAGATAATAAACAATATAATAGCAATGTCTGTGTGTGTGTGTAGGAGAGAGAGAGAGAGAGAGAGAGAGAGAGAGAGAGAGAGATCAGTAGCAAAATATGGCCTAATTAAATACCTTACACAAATAGTGTAAAAGAGTCAGCTTGTTGTTATGTGATCTCGTTTCACTAAGTTTTAAGAGACTATCCAGACGAAACCCCACAGCAGAACCTGAGCAACAATGTAGTCACATAATTTTAAGCAAGATATAGGAGAATGAAAGTTTAACGAAATCAGAAGTAAAAGCAAGATATAGAAATAGTTAATCGTTTGCAGTACTCGAGTCTTAGTCATACTCAGCTCCACAAAATCCACGTATATTCTAGTGCAGAATTATTAAGGTGATCATGTCAAGTTTCAAAACATAGATTTGTATAGTATCGTTCAAAGGGAAACATAACCGGTTATTGAAAATGCCATGCAAATGAAGTAAATGGTATAAGATGAAGTCACCTCTTGCCGTTCCGTGATTTAATGCATTTCCTAGTGAAAGGATACTTTGCATTATCCTTTTCAACTTGACAGAATTTCTGACCTAATAAGTTCAGTTTCAGACGGAATACGCTCATTGTAATAATAAAAAAAGAAAAAAAAAAAGTAGAATAAAAAAGAACGATAATTACTTGCCTCTTGAGATGCAGAATTCACTATATTCAAACTGTTTCTCAAATCGGACAACTGCACGAGGTCGAAAGGACTGATATTTAAACCGGTAATTGAGAACGATAGCAGTTAATACAAGAGATGTACAATCTACATTGTGTTTTGACCTGGGAGAAAAATTGAATTTTAAAGGAGAAAACTCTGAGCTTCGACTCGACACGTGGAACTTTCATCAACTCCAAGAAAAACTGCAACAAATGGGTTTTAAAAACAAAAATGGATCTCGGGTTTTATCATCTCAACTAGATTAAAAAGATTATAACCGTTAAACCATCTACTTAACGTGCAGTTTGAATGAATGGTAAATATCTACCTGTTCACACTTTCCAAGGTTCTCCTTCTCACCATTGTAGTTCTGGAAGAAACAGTACAGTTAAGACATGGCTGTAAATATGAAATAATCAGCTTCCAAAAGTGGTTATCTGAATGATAACCTGCTCTCATTATAATTACTACTCATAATAATAACTAAAAGAAGATAATTGAATGAAATTCGCCATTATAGAAGAGCAGGCCACAGGTACCTTAAGGAGTTCTATCTCTTCTTTGGTTGGACAGAATTTTATCAGGTTATCGACTTGATCGATATCCAATGCCGAGCCGTCCAAAGCAAGGACTGAATTCTGTGAAAGACGGTAGAGAATGAAAGAACATTCAAATGGAACAAGTAACGATTGCAATATATCACAGTACAAGAACTATTTTGTCAAAATATTTGATTTTGATTTGAGGGAGAGAAAAAATTGATATAAACAAAACCTTTTAGAGTGAGAAGAGTCTTATGTTGAAGGATATAACACGCAGGATAAAGAAATCAGGAAACACAATGGATAAAGAACTGTAAAGAACTTAAAGGAAACAAAATAAGATAAAGAATTATTAGCTTAGATGTATAATAGAAGTACTTTAAATTACTAGAGAAAAGACACGGCTACTTGACAGAACAAGATCACATGTTGGCTAAAGTTCGGTCAAGCATTAAGCTATAAAGTTGAAGTAAGGTGTACAACATTAAAATTCCAAAATATTTCTGATATTAAGCTTACCATCAAATCTGACAAGGGAACCTTTACTTTTGTTAGCATAATTTCGCAGTTGTATGCTCTTCGGAGCTCGATCTGCAGAAAGTACATTTAACTTGAAAGGGAGCCAATGATACAAAAAAAACCTCTGTGAAAAAGTAATATAGTGCAGAGTGTACCAAATGAACTTTGTTGGGTTTGAGCCCTGATGATCCATGCCTATTCATTTTCCTGCCAGCATCCCCGTGATCTGAATTTGTGACGGTGGTCGAGAATAAACTTTCGATTTCACAAATGTCCAGCTCAAGAACTCTATAAAAAAGACACAAGTGAAGAGTTCATTATCTTCAATATCACTTCCTGATGACAGCACAGTACTTAAAATTAAAGATTATAAAATGATAACTCACTTTGAAGCCTCTTCAGGTCTTTGCGCCTCGGCCCACAAACTGCCTTGCATGGCTCTTGTTAGCTTCAACCAGTGGTACGCCCGGAGAGGTGCCTTTCTCGGTTGCGCTTGAGTTTGAGTTCTCATGCTCGCCCGTGGCTGCAATTTTCCCTTCACACACTGAAGATAAGTGGGCCTGCCTTTCGGAAGAGGAGCTGGCGGAGGTGGAACAACTTGTCGGATCCTAGCTGGCGGCAAAGCGGCATGCTGAGGTGGCGGCGGTGGAGATGGGGCGGCGGGTGGTACAGTTGAATTCTTTGATGCTGTAAGCGGACGGGGCCCATTGGAACGGGGCAAAAGTGGCGGCAGAGGAGGAGGAGGAGGAAGGGATTTCGGTTTTTCCTCGAGCGGATGAGGCTTTGAAGAGTCAGTAGGGTCGACATGATTTTTTAGACACAAAGCGGATGCTGATGTGGATGGACACTGGACTTGTCTGTTACTGAATTCGGCATGATCGTGCAGCAGAGCTGTTATACCTAGTGCTGAGGTGGCTGCACCTCGGTATCTCGAGAGAGGTGCTTGCGAAAGCGAGACTTGCAAGGAATTTGAGTTGGGAGAAATTTGAGATATTCGTGGGAGTATAATTTTGGACTGAGCAGGCCTACATACAAAAACATGCGGCTCACTCGAGTCGGTCTTCTTTGACGTGGAATCTGAATCGTCGCTTGAGTTTAACAAGGTAGACTGTGTTACCATTAGCTTTGCTTGTGCAGATGTTGTGTTGTTTTCAGAAGCTCCATTTTTCGGACTCACTTCAAGTAATTGATCATCTTTGTTAACAAGATTACTAGAAGCACTGCACATTTCATGCTTTTGAGCAGTCTCAGGGGAGTGCATGCTCGATTTTGCTTCATTTTGGAGAAAGACATTTTCGAGTTTTTCATCTCTGCCACTTGGTGAAGAAGTATTCTCTAGATTTTCTTCAGTAATACGGGAGACTGTCATTCGTTGGGTCGTCTTAAGATCATAATCAGCCTCTGAAGCTCCAGAATGAAAGTTGGTACTTGTATCTTGAATTTTAACACATGCTTCGGTTGGCCAATCTTCTTTGTCCTTACCGGGTGAATTAAGCTCTCCAAGTGAAGAACTCGAATCCGTCTCCGAGGAAAGAATCTTTAACACGACCAAGAAAAAAAAAAATATACAAAATTAGAGATTCGCATAAAGTCATAGTCTTTAAACAAATTAAAGTGTACATACCTCAGCTCGGAAGTCATTGGGAAACCGATCCTTGACATCCAACGGTGCATCAGTTTCCTCGAGGCCAAGTGTCACTGTATTTGCTCTGACAAACTCTGTTTTGAACACAACGCGACACAACACTTCTTCATGCTCTGATTTATCATTAACACACTCGAGCACATCATCACCTTGAACAGGACAGTTGGCATAAACTTTAAACAGATCAAAATCCGCCTGTAACAAATTGCGACACACGAAGGCAAATCATGAAACAAGTTTCTCATTCTTCAGAAAGAGACAAAATTTATAAATAAATTACTGTACCTAGTTTGATTAAGAAAATTAATAAAAACAACTTTACAAGAACAATGAGGAGTTTTAAATGATTATACAAAAGTGCAGGTCTAACAAATTCAGCAACATCAGGAAATATATACATGAGATGTAGCAAACCTGTCTGAATAGCCTCACGGCTTTACTCTCTTTGGTCACTGAAAAGAGCATTTTACACGTCCGATCAGCAGCAGCTGCAAAAGGATCCCTTCTCAAGACATACCCAAGATATCTCAACTGTGAAGGCAAAGGATTCACGGGTAACGACTGAAGAATCTCACTGGGTACTTGTTTGTATATCATGTCCAAGGCTTTACACTCATCAGTACATTGCTTGTTATAAATCAAGAAAGCTGCAAGCACGAAGGCTAATAACGGCAAGCAACCGTTCTCACAATGCATCAACAGAAAATTCTTCTTCCCGGATGAAATCCATTTACGGCTCGTGCTCAAGAAGTGTTGGATTGTTTCCGGTGGGAGTGAAAGGCAGTTTTTACTTTGGCAATGGTAGTTTATTACGGTCATCCCACATTTAAAAAGTGGGTTACTAATTCGAGTTTTGTGATTTTCATCTCCGAAGTTCTGAACCATGAGTGAAAACTCGGGGAAGTGTTCACGGAGTTGTTCCACAGTATGCCGGATATAGGCTCGATACTCACGAATGCTTGAAATGTTTGAGGTCAAGCAGCAATTAAATACTGCAAAAATCACAGTACCAGCCAGCAAATTCAGCACTTCTGAAGATTTTCAAAATATACATCAACTCTAAGTGGAAAATTATTCCAAGAATTTATCGAAAAATAACATTAGGATCATTAAGGACATTCCCAGTTAAAGATAAATAGGTAAAAGTAACAAGAAAAATAAAAGAAAATTTGAGACATTAAACACCCCAAATAAATCCAAGTTTCAAGAAAATTTTCTTTAAAAAAAAAATACATTCAACACATCAAACAATGTTAGCAGCTAACATACCAAAAACCCTTTCAGAGATCTCCAAAAGCCCTTCCGGCAGCTTACGGTCGGAAATTTTGCCGGAAAGCGCCATACTTTGCACCGAAATTTCAACCTCAAACACCCACAACCTCAAACACCCACAAACTGCCCCACATTACAAAATCTCGAGAAAAACAAGAAAGCCCAGAAGACAAATTTGTCTGCCCAAACAAAATAACAACATAAAAAGGTGGCTTATTTGGGCAACATTTTATCCTTAACATTCAAGAAAGTGAAATCAGAAGGCAGAGGGTGCTGCTGGTTTTTTTGCTGGGGCTGTAAGAAACACTTTAATTTCTTTTCGATGTGGGATACATTTCTTCACACTCACACTTACTCTGTGTTTGTTGGGTGCGTCTGTTAGTATCTTTTGATGTGTGTGACTGAGCTCGCAAGATTAGTTAAGAAAACTTGGCTTTCAAAGGGAGGAACCCCAAAAGACAAGCGCGTGGGGGGAAAGTTCATTCCTTTATTTTTTTTTTCATTATCTTGCTAAGATAACAAGATTTGAGCACAAATGGATCTGAGTGCCTTTTTTTTTTTGCAGCAAATCTGTTCAGTGCAGAGCAGGGATTTATGTGTGGGTGTCGAAATCATTTTGGTGCGTAACATAATTAGATGTCTCACAGTTCCTTTTATTCTATTGTCACTTTCATGGTTCATGAGCACGTGTTCCTAGGAAAAAGAGATAAGGAATCTTGATCGGCTATATAAGACAGCAATTAGGAATCGATTAAGGAGTTGATCTTAATTGGAAAAGACAGAGAGAGAAATGATATTCCTATTTATGTTGGGTTTGTTGTAAATAATTATTGTGGATTGCTATTTATCGCTCCATATTACTAGTCACCGCCCCCTAATTACGAAAATACCCTTTACTATATTTTTGAATTTTCTCTCTCTAAACTCTCTATCTCTCTAAAACCGTAACTTCAACG